CCTACGTTAAATGTTTGTTAAATGAATTGAATTCACTCCTTAGATTTCACTGATGGCCTAGTTGACTCATCAAGGTCAGTTTTTGAATGAACTCCTCAGATAAGATTTAAACCTCAAGACTGCAGAAATAATGGAATTGTTTGAAATGTAATGAACGAAACCATGAATTATCTGTACCTGGATTTACTAAACAATTAACTCAAGAACACCAATAACAAATTAAGTGTCCCGACACAGGGGTAATGATGTAATCACTCTTTCCCAAAATGAATGGCAAAGTTGATACCTCAGCTAGATGGCTGCTTGTTTGAAGACAAGTCTTTAAGATGCTAAACTCTATTTTTCTGATAGCCAGGAACCATCTGGTTTCTTTGCCACACTTTGCTATTGCACCCATATCTTCAGTAATCTCTTCATGCAGGAAAGATCGAGTTGGGTCATATCATAGGAACGCATTGTTCTCAGATTGGGGAGCCCACAGTTAAGTGGAAGCCCAAAATTCATTCATATATCTATGGCTTATGTCTTTCACTTTGGAAACATCAGTATCATTTTATGATAGAGAACTTTATACAGCATCCCCCTGAGGCAAAAGGAATTCTACAAGTAGCATCATTAAGTCAATGGTATAAAATTTAAAACATTGTTGAGAAAACAAAATTACACATGCACAGGCTGGCTTCAGACCTCGATATATGAATCGGTTGTGAATCAGCCTTGCTATCAGAGGAGCTCCGATGGAGCAGCGGTTATGCATTGGGCTGGGACCTGCAAGGTCTGCAGTTGGAAACCAGGCCTCCTCGGGAGAAAGACTGGCCTTTCTACTCCTGTAGAGTTACAGTCCCAGAAACCCAGAACGGCAGGTCTACCCAGTCCTAAAAGGGATCTATGACTTGGCACCAGCTCAAGGGGAGTGAGTTATCGAGTGCCTTAGTATCAGAGCATTGTAGTACCTTATCATTTGATCTCCCCTTTGAGCCATTTTTAAATGGTTTCAGTATTTAATGTCTTCTGCTTTCAGTGGAGGGTTTTCTCGATTGATGGAGAAAAGATTGAAGTTGTCAATGATTTTGTCTTCTTTGGATCCACAATGTTGATGGAAGCAGCAGTCAAGAGATCAAAAGATGAACTGCATTAGTAAATCTGCTGCACAAGACTTCTTTAGAGTACTGAAAAGCACGATATTTCTTTGAGGACTACTGTGTGCCTGACCCAAGCTATGGTATTTTCAATTAGCTCATACGCACGTGAAAGTTGAACACTGAATAAGGAAGACCAAAGGAGAATCAATGCACTTGAATCATGTGCTGGTGAAGAATATTGAAAGTAGCATGGTCTGCCAAGAGAACAAACAGATTTGTCTTGAAACAAATAGAGCCAGAGTCCACCTTAGAGGCAAGGATGGAGAGCTTCATCTTCCATACTTGGATCATATCACCAGGAGAGATCAGATGCTGGAGGACATCATGCTTGGTAAAGTAGAAAGGCAGCAAAACAGAAGACGCTCAACAATATGGATTGTTACTATGGGCTGCAACATGGGTGCAATACAACTACGACAAGGGGCTCAGTCAGCAGAATGATTGTGAGGATGACACAGGAGTGTTTTGTTCTGTTGTGTATAAGGTAGCTATGGGTCGGAACCAACTCAATGCCACCTAACACCAATCTTTTTTTTTTTTTTAATCATTTTATTGGGGGCTCTTACAGTTTTTTTTTAAAAATCATTATGTTGGGGG